ATACTTGTTCCCACGTTTCGTACACTACATACCATTTCACTCACACTCTTGTGTAACATTTATTTTCCTTGTTTGGAAAATACAAGTATCATCGTAAACCTGGTGGTCTTCAGATTTCCCCCTTTCCGCGTCAGGACTATTAACTACTCGACGAGTACGTAAGATAATTGGCGACAGGGAAAACTATGATTTCTTCTAATTTGGAATCATTATTTCAGCAACAAATGAAATAATGGATATGTTCATCAACCAACATCCTGGTTCAGTTTCACCTTCCAAGCAATCCGCATCATGCCATGTTACCATCTGTCGATGGAATTGTGAATAGTATTACACAATTCAATTATGATCCAGATGCTAATGTCACTTTTGAATCATGGTATCAACGATATGAGGATTTATTCACAGTTGATCTCGCCTCACAAGACGATGGTTGGAAGGTGCGAGTGTTAATATGTAAATCAGGTCCCGCAGAATATGAAAGGTACTGCAACCTAATTTTACCCCAAAAACCACGTGACAAGTGTTTCGATGATACAATAAAGCTGCTGCGTGAACATTTTGGAGACCACTCCTCATTATTCAGCATACGTTATCGTTGCCTCAAGCTGACGATGAATGAAAATGATGATTTTCTTACTCACGTTGGCACAGTCAACCGAGAATGTGAGAGATTTCGACTCAGGTTCTTAACAGATAACCAATTCAAAGCCTTGATCCTCATGTGCAGTCTCCAATCTCCTCGTTTCACAGATATCCGAACTCGATTGCTCAGTCAGCTAGAACAAAATCCCAAGTTAACATTACATGACATAGCTGATGAATATCAACGGCTGATTAATCTGCAGAAAGACACACACCTGGTCGAATCAACACCTTCCAGAAGCTCTGATATTCGTGCATTACGAAAGTGAAAAAATCTCTCATCATCCAGTCCTGACCCACCTTCTCTTAATGTCCCGCGGAAATCTACACATACTCATCCAACTTCTCAAATTACTGGAAAGAAGACCCCACCATGCTGGCATTGTGGCGCGTGGCACTTTGTGAAGTCCTGTCCATACAAAAATCATCGTTGCAGCAAGTGCAAAATCATCGGTCATAAAAATGGATTTTGTCAGCCACGCAAACCCACATATCAAGATCCAGCGAAAGCTAGACCAACTGTTGGTCCTAAATCTCCAAGGAGATCACTGAGTCTACTCGCAACGTGTCAAGTCATAACTCCATGTATGCGAAAATATCTTGATCTTCAGATGAATCGTCATGATACACGTCTGCAGCTAGATACCGCCTCTGATATTACTGTTATATCAGAGAAACTTTTGAATAATATTGGCAGACCACCTATCACAAATACTTCCCAGTCTCTTCTCAGCGCCTGTGGTGGGCGGCTCAAACTGATTGGTGAACTCCAATGTTCTGTATCCTTCCGCAATAACAAATTCACAGGAATTTGTTACGCCACCAAGAGTGATTTAAATCTTTTGGGACCTGATTGGTTCGACCGTTTGCATCTGGCTGATGTCCCACTAAATTCTCTATGCAATGCAGCCAAGAAACATAAAATGTCAGAAAACTCCGGACGAAGCCGAAACCGCAAATCCAACAGGCAGACAAAGCGACAGACGTCAACAACAAGCTCAACGGTTTCAGATACACCCCTAATGAAACACGCTACTAAACATCGATCTTCTCAAAAGGGGAGGTGATATGTATCCACATGAAGTGTGTTTTGTTTTTGACAGTCTATTATATTTTGCTATGTGTATATGGATCGATATTTCATCATAACTGACAACATGCTTTTGTCTGTCCACTAACTAAACAAAAGCACGTATGACCTTGTTGTCACATGACATTACAACCAATCATGTTAAGACTGTCTATTTATTGGTTCATGTGTATTAGTCATTTTCATATATACTTTTGTACTGTATACTTGTTCATACTTGTTCCCACGTTTCGTACACTACATACCATTTCACTCACACTCTTGTGTAACATTTATTTTCCTTGTTTGGAAAATACAAGTATCATCGTAAACCTGGTGGTCTTCAGATTTCCCCCTTTCCGCGTCAGGACTATTAACTACTCGACGAGTACGTAAGATAATTGGCGACAGGGAAAACTCTAATAACTCACTCAGCAGCAGTACATAACAATTCATCACTATGAAACTAAAATGTCTACAGGTACTGAGATAAATTACTTCAGACTTCGGAGTGACTTTGTATACAGCTGAACCACTTGTGATAATAATTAGAATTTTACACAACAATTGCAACTGAACAATCATGAGATAGGAAGCTGCAATCATTACGGATAAAAATATAGGTTAAACACCTAATTTACTTTCATAGACTTAGCTACTGATTCTTTACGTGAGTTTCAGAGATATTTATAAATATTTTCAATATCCAGGAACAATTTATGCTGAGTTTGCCACTGGGAAGGTTGGTGTGTAGCATGCGTATTATTGATATAAGAATAAAACTTGTGCACTGTGGTAGAGTGTAATTCCATTATGGGTAAATTTTGTTTGATAAAGTCTCACAGCGTTATACAGTAATGTTTACTGATGACGTTTCGAGCACAATTTATTGCTCATAATCATATCAAGGTGATATGATTATGAGCAATAAATTGTGCTCGAAACGTCATCAGTAAACATTACTGTATAACGCTGTGAGACTTTATCAAACAAAATTTACCCATAATGGAATTACATGCGTATTATTCTCTTACAGAATCTTGAATATTGGACAGAAGGCTTAAGTTGCATGCAAAAAAAACTGAAAAGAACAATGAACCAATCTCGAAACCATGAAAGGGAGATGAAAGTAGCAGAGTTTAATGAATGCTGTAAACCGAAATTCGCATTCTGCTGAATAGCTCGCCAAAACGTATGTCACCGAAAGTGCCCGATAGCAGCTGAAATACAGTTATTCGCGATAAAGAGTATCTCAGCAATGCGGATAGGGGGCAAAACCTGGTATCCAACATCGACTGTAGGAAGCAAGTGAGAATAATAAATTGCGTAAAAATTGCTTCCCTGACACAGTGTAAGGTGAAATTCTTGTCGGCCGACGCTGACTTTATTCAAACAAAATCACAGTCATATAATAACACATTTTCATCGCCAGTACACAGCCGCAAAGAGAAGCATTTCACCTTGAGTTTCAACAGTAAGGCAGACAAATAATAAGTGTGTAGCTGATATGCAAGCGTCAGAAAAATAATACACAGTCTAGGAGGAGAGGGCATAATCATTTCAAATATTAAAGCGAGTATCATGCTTGTAAATAGACAGTTCAGGAGGGATTTTGAAGATTAGCATTCCGTAACACGAAGCTTTTGTATTTCATGGATAATACAGTATCCATTTGAAGTTGGTATGTTTTACAACTGTTATGTGTATTTCGGAAAATAGGAAGAATCAGCTACTAGACACCTCTTCGCTCCACTGAGACAACTTTATTTCCTTGTAATCAGGCCAAAGTAAAATAAGCCGTACGGTGAAAATAGGAAATTATTGAAATCGTTATTCCTATAAAGAACGCGTGTTACTTACCGGATACTGAGCAACTTTTAATGCAATCCACAAAATGACACCCAACGCTGCTATTCCACCAGCAAATCCCAGCACTATAATGCTTGCTTTCTTAGTCAATTTTTCCATTCTGTACCCTATTATCAGTGCAGTGAAAGAGATAGCCATCGTCAGAAACCATGATAAAATATTCCATAATCCCTTATCGGCTGTTAGACCAGGTATTCCGAAAGACAATAATAAAACCTATATTGACCATAGATTACATTTAAATACGAAAATATTAGGATGTTTAATGAGACAAATTCGCGTTAATATATTTACGAAAATTCAATACATTGGTAGTATGTAGCTCTTTCACATTTTAGAATTATTACTTTTCGAAATGTGAAAAATTGTGCGAAGAAACTATGATAGTACAACCTTATCCTTTTATCCTTGAATCTGTCAGTAGTCTGAATTTCCATCGAAGACAGTAAATCTCGTTTTCTATAGTTCTTGTTGTTATACTCATTCAGTTACACCTGTGGGCCTCAAAGTGCTTTCATGCAAATTTTTGATTTGTTTGCAGCCTATCGTTGACCATTTCTGTGGGGCTGAAGAAAAATACCGTAGCGGATTATTTTATTCTTCATAACTAACATCAGTTTGTAATATAATGTACTGGAAGTGGCTGCTTTACTTGAAAATTCTCGATGAAGAGCAGATATGCAATAACTTACACTTAATGGATAATAAAGGATTTTATGATAAAATTAACATTACATACTTTATTTTTGGAAATAGTTGTAATTTTATCAACAACACAGAGTGATAGCCTTACTTTATTATTTTTGTTACTCTCCCCGTTCCCATTTAAAATATAAGAATAAATCAGCAACTCTTTTTTAAAGAATATTTGAACTTAACTATGCCATCCCACGTCAGCCTTCACCCAGTATCAACTTTCAACCACCGGTTAAGTCATTTGTTGTTTAATTTAGGTGACAACACTTGCTGTCACTCAACAGTTCTTCATGCGTATGCTCTATCCATTTCCACTTTTTCCTACAATCATATTAGGAAATACGTTGTCAGACTTCACCGTTGCTAATCATCTTCGCCTCACAATCTGATATTCAATATAGAGCCATCGAAAGCATTTCTTGATAGAAGGCCATAGTTGGCTGTTGGAAATGCTTTCAGTGATGTATCAAGTCTCTGAATCCTATTGTAGCTACGATTTCACATTTGCATCGAAGACATAAATCATGTTCTTTATGCAGAGTGCAGCGAAATTCCACATTCGCTTTGTAATAAGCGATGCAAGCTGTATCAAGCTGGTCGATATAAATACCTTGCTTTTAAAATAAATGAGATTTTTATTCCTTGCAGTCAATCCTTTCAAATGAACTATTACAGATATTTCTGTACCAGTGACCCCGAACAGCAGTATTAACTGTTTTATCATACGAATAGTCTCCTTGTAGGACATTTAGTGTTTTGTGCAAGATAATGCTGTAGAGAAGTTGCATTATGTAAAACTTACAGCAAGTACTATCAGTCCAATATTCAATGCTAAGCGCTCTTGAACGCCTTTAACAAAAAGAAACACTGCTGTGGGGATTGAGCCAAGCATCCTGAAGAAGAAAATAATGAAACTAGTTAGTCAAATGAGACAATTTTCACAAAACATTAGAGGCGTTCAGATAGTAAAAGTACTCGTTCACTATTACAATACAGTTTCTTTGAAAGACCACTATCGTCCTAAATACTTCTAGATGTAGAGCACTGATTATGATGACACAATAATTTATTCCTACACAACGTTAGATTATGAAATGTCCTCGCATGAGTAATATTCAATAGTTCTCAAGAAGTGTTTGTTATAGTATGATGTCAAGTCATTAACCTATTAGGACATGACATAAGAGCAAAAAATATTGTTTTTAATTAGATCTTCTTTAGATTTTAATCTGCATAGATTTATATATAAAAATTTTAACCAATGACGGTGATTTTGTAAATCAATTAATAATAATGGGGTCAAAGTTTTGAGCGTCATTAATGATGATGATTATAATGATAACCAAAATAATGATAATAAGGTTTATGCAGCTGGTGATAAGAATAAAATAGTTAGTAATATGTGTATTTGTAGACAATTCAATAAGTAAATTAGGTCAAACCTTGAAAGTTACGTAATACTAAAGGTGAAGTGGACAAATAATCAGAGCTTAAATAAATGTCATAAAAGTACGAAGGAGACGGAAAATAAGAAAGAGAGGGAGACCAAGGTAGAGACAAAGGTAGAACAAACTGATGTTGTACACAAAAACCAGGACTGTTCCCCCGAATTCCCATACCATCGGCTTTGCATGAAAAGGGGGGTTCGAATTCCGTTCGAAAGTTTCGATAGAATGCGATAGATAACTTTGAAAGCACTACCTCTGTCTACTTGGTGACCACTACCAATCAAATGAGTCAAAATAGAACATATCATAGATTTTATTTGGCCTTTACTGAACGATGAAGGAAGATGCTCATGAATACGATTGATGAGCCGTTTGTTTGTTCTCCCTACATAACTCTCTCTCCAAAATATTGTTCTCTTATATGTCTTGTCCTAATAATTTCACATGACTGCCAAATACAACATGTAAGTTACAACTACGTTATTTTAAAAGATTTTCAAACCTAATTTCTTAATCACCACCACCACAAACTGCTACTATTGACATAAGCTGCAAAGAGTAAATGAAGACCACAGGAGTTTGAGAAGCGAGCTTTCACTGTCTTCAATCAGTAGCGAATAAACCCTGAGAGCATTTCCATGCAATATGCACATAAATAATATTGATTTAGGTCGCATTGTTTTCACAGTAAACAGGCAAAGTGACTGACAGGGTATAGGTGGGAGAAAATCAAACACAGTACTAAAAAAATAATGAAATGAAATATATCGGGACAAAGATATTTAAATAATATAATTCTGCATTGAGTTACTCACAAGAATACAGCTGGTATGAGGAAAGTATTGTACAGTCCACGAAGAGTTGGTCTGTAGATAAGGGAGTTCAGAAAAATAGTTAAATTACAAATTTACACGGTAGCTGCACACATTTTGATGATTATTGTCAACAAAACCATTGCACATGACAAAATAAGATACTTGGTTTGATTGGAGTTTTCATTCTGAATACAAATAAATTTACCTACCTTTCAATAACAGATATCTGGAGAAGTAACTCCAAACTTTGTATCCTAGAGAATAAAGCCTTGGAAATATCGTTCTTTTCACGCAACTTTGTTGTTAAACCCATTTTTACTTTTCAAGTAATTCAGAAAAACAGAATGATTGTCAACCGGAATAATCGAAATGTTAAATCTGAACTACTTGAAAATGGCGTGTGTAATGATATACCATCGGAGATCAAAACAGACGGACGTGGCAACTTTCGATTGCCATGAATACAGTAATAATGTTGATACCTTCCATATTATGAGGGATAGTAAGCTGTAGACATGCAATAATTTTTTCAACCTCCCACTAATAAATCCATAAAGTGGGAAAAATCATCTCGTTGCGGAGAAACATTATACTGGTTCACATTTATATGCGACAAACAGACTGCTCAGTGTACACGTCACTTTCTTATGTGTTATCCGGAGCGAATTACTTAGTCTAGTCACCTACCATTCTACCGATTACCCCAAGAAATTATATTAAGCATGAATAAACTATTGGGACTGCCACACGTATATGACGGACCACAATAGATACAGTTTAATGGAGTATATATGTACGTGTTATTATAGGAAGTTCTATCTTATTGTTTAAATCACTTCACTAAGCATAACATGATTATGTTTGAGAGAAGGTTTCCACAAATTCTAGCTTTTATGGAGATCATTCAAGCACTACAAACGGTTTAAACGAACGTGCCGTTGTTAGATTATTGTTACTAAGATGTATAATACAAATAAGAGCAATAAATACATTCATCGAAATTATTCGTCATATGAGATAAGTCTGTTTCAGAAATCTCTGAGGTGAGAAATGCTGTTCTGCTGAACTCAGTCATGTTTTCGACATTTCACACTCGATATTTAACAAAGTTGTCGTTGGTAAAAAGAAATAATAAAAATTTATCAATATTTAAGCTTACATAATTTCATATTGTTGAACTGACGTTAAAGCTTCATACTCTGTCAATAAAACGTTCCAATGTTATTTATTAGCATTGTGTGGATAAGTGGGACGGTACAGATACTGGTGTACTTTAGACTTCTGTTCAGTAGAAAATTCTGATACCATATTGGTTGTTGTGAATAATCTCTGCTCCAGTGTGATTAGCGGACTATTATTTGTCATCTCATATGTATTTCATACACTTTGTAAGTGTATTTTATTTGTTTTGCAGTGGAAGTCTCGCAGATATTTTTTGTGAATGCTTCTGTCAAGCCTGAATCTATCGTTATGACTAGTTTCTGAAGAGACGAATGCTCTGAAGGAAGAAGGAGATCCTTCAGGAAACTCTCACTCACGAGTGATAATCATAAAAAAGCAAAAAATACAAACTTCTAAAATTAAAAAAGATTATCTTTCTCAATATCTTTCAGTTTATGCCTGAAATTTTATACTACCGATTGGCAGATATGAGTAGCTTAACGACATTTAGGTGAAATAGTAGAGTTCACTAGGCTGATTCTGACTGAGTTCAAGTGATTCAGTGTAATTTGGTTCTTGCAGCTATGATGAACCAAGTACAAACTAGGGTCTTAGCAGTAATAGTCATGTAATATTTCTTCAGCAGATATCCTAACAGTCATAAATATCACATCTGACCAGAAAAATTCCACAAATCAAATCATGCTGATACATTGTATTCCATTTTTACGCGCTTCATAGTCGGTCCCTTGTAATCGATCGCTTTTCAACTTAATATCTCGGACAAATTCTCATGATTCTTTCGAGTTTTGTTCTATTGCATCATTCTGATTAATAAAATGAAATGTCAACATAATCTGTGTAGCGGGTTTTAATAACAAAATTAGCGTTGTCTTCACAGGAGATGTCGATGCACTCTGTCATTTAGTCGTTGTATACAGCGGGAAAAAATTCGATAGAGCTGATATTCCTGGCTTACATTGATTTCATATAATAAAGGCCTGAAATGGACACCTTCATTGTATTCTGTTACCCATAATCACTTTTATTTACTTCTGTTATTTAAAATATATTAAAATCATTGTTCCCTAGGGATTCAACAACACACCTGCACTTTGTTCTTTTTTCTGGCCTTCGCTTCAACTGCGTCTTCGATTAGTCCAACTCTATCATCTCATTCTCACGTGATCTCCTCCAATTAACATTCAGATTGACGACGCACTTGGGCGAATGCCTTTCGCGCGCGATGTAATTTGAGGCTTTCCCCAATGTACGCCTGCTCCATCTGGATTTTCACCTACAAATATGCTGTGCAATCGACTGTTCGTTGGTTAGTTCTCAGACAGAGAAACCTGTTAATCTGTGAGTGATCTGCTTAGAATCCAGCAGCCAGTGTATTCGAAAAATAACCTCTTATCTAACCAGGAGTTATTGATGAGTTATGCATGCGACCTAGTTATCGTGAGTTAATAGAGGATCACATATACAATAAATAGTTCCGAATTCACCTCGTCACATAGAGTGTTAACATTGAATATCTAATTTAATTACAGTTGGATGAGAGCTGTCTGTTCTTCAATTATTTACTTTGTGTTTTCTCAGAAGCCTTTAATTGGTAATAAATTGTCACCTAAAACTGTTCACTTTTACAGTTTGAAACGTTCACTTTTAAGCCTGAGACCAGATAGCTTATCACACATCTTCCCCTGGGTAAAATAATTGAAGACTCAGCTAAGCTTTTGTTAGAGATTTATTCTTCCATGAAACTAGCGGTATGCAAATAAAGCTAAAAATTTTACTGTGAAATTATTTATTAAAGAATTTGAAAAGGGAACTGTAATAAAATCAAGCGATATCATGCATATTTTGACAAATATGTCGGCAGAAAATATGAATTTCGGAAAGAAAATAAAAAAGAACCCCTGTAGCGTAGTCAACAGTGATAAACATGTTTAAAGAAAATCTGCGATAATCAGCGCAGCTTACACAAACTGAAACAACATGAGATCGGGGATTAGATTACGGGTAACAGCTCCTTGAACTTTTTGATCAGCTTGTTTATCTTTTGTGTTTTACAATTTGTCCACCGCAATTTTAGATGCGCTCAATGTGAAATATGATTTATAGTTGTTTCAGTAATGTGGTTAATGATCTGGAATGAGTGATGGCAGTGATTCATCAAAGAGGAAGATTACAGCGTAAGTGACATTTGATTTCAAATAAAGAAGATGGTAATCTGTTAGAATTAATCGGATCTACAGCAGTAACCCGCCAATGCGATCCGCAAATTCTGAACTGTGATAGTATAAGCAATAAAAACTGCCTCTTGTAGAAACGTGAACAAATAGTGTGAGTACTACTAGTAATTGTAAAGTGAACCGAGACAGGGTGTTTGCTGATGTAATCGAATATCACTTTTTAAACGAAATACTCGTATCGACGACTTCTTTCGCCTCCTATCATTGAATATTTCGGAGATTTACCCTTAGCATGTAATGCTTATCATGGAAGCTCTTCCTAGCCACCAGAAAACTCAGTCACATATCGCAGCAAATCTATTAGTGATTGATCAAAAGCGAAGTTTTGGGAATACATATCTTTATTCACAGATCCATTACGCATCTGAATACAACGCCAGTAGACAAAGCTAAGACAATCGCGATTTTGCATCAAAAATTTTGTTGACTTGTAGATAGTCAGTTGTCAGTAGTGACGAATCAACTGCATTTAAAAGAAAACCTTGTGACCCTAATTACTAATCATGACCTGAAGGTGTCAGTCCTACATAATTTGTCATGCAAATCAGAAGTGGGGATTGTTATTTCTTACAAACAAGCATATATTCCGTTTGTTTCAACTAATCGAAAAAAATTGTAGGGAAGCCAAGATTAACTTCAAAATACATGAGAAGAACGTTAACAACTGATCATGGAACAAAGATTAACAGTAAAGCAGCACTAAATTTACTTTCAAAATTGTGGAATGTTAACTGAAAACACGTTCACCACAGTCATCATAAATAAAATAATTTTAATATTCCCATAATTTATTCAGAACAAAATAATGAGAACGAACGATTGTCTTCAATAAGTTATTCTTGAGGCTCTACAATTATAAATCCATTAATTTAAGCATACAATAGCCAGTAAAGGCGAATCAGAATCATATCAGAAAGTGTATTGTGGAACAAGTACTAGATGGGATGAAACAATAGTCATATAGTCATATAATTTTTTAATATGCATAGTCAAAATGAGGTGAAGTAATTTAATTTAGGTTGGGATGGAACAATAGTCGGTTACAGTTTTGAATATGCATGTTCAATGACAACATGAGATTAATTTTCTATAGTTTGGTTTGTAACGGTTAGTTATGTTTTTACGAGTTGATCACGGATTGATATCACGAGCTATATATATATATAGTCAACAGAAAATACAGGTTTCAAAAGCGAGTGTCAAGTTTTTTCAGATATCCAGTATCAACCAAGCAGGCTACCACTTCACTATTCAACAATTTGGTTACCACTTTACTCAACCATACAGGAACATGTTCATGCGTGTGCATGTATAAAGCCCTAGCTGTACATGAAATCATACATAAACACTGATAAGGACATCTTTGGTAACTTAACTTTGACTGGTTATTTGAGTACTGGTTTAGTTGAGACGTCGAGTACCAGTTAAGCTGCTGGAAACGTTCTTTCTACTGCTGCCTTCAGTCGACATTTAAGAATGTCAGCTGCAATTTTCCCTTTGTAGTTCAATTTAAGATACAGAGGTTTCAGATCTACGGTATCAACCTTTACTTTATCTCTAGGTATTGACATATACTTTAATTAATGGATTTATAATTATAGATCCTGAAGAAAAATTTATTGAAAACACTTGTTCATTCATATTATAGGGTTCTGAATAAATAAAATAGCTATAATTCTTTTATTTCCTGAAAGTATCCCTCCTTTAAAAAACCCTCTTCCTAGATCACAGCAGGAAGAGACATTAATGGCCATTAATGACTTTATGTCAGTTCAAATTTTTGTAAAATTTGCACTATACCTCATTTGACACACATTTTATGTTAGGAGAAACGTGTGAGGCGTAAAGCCGCTAATTCATTGTGAAATACTTGGTGAACAGCTCACTTCATTCTTCAATTCAGTAATAAATTCTTGTTAACATTTCCACTTAAATCGTAATTTGACTCTTTTATTTCACTGAAGACTGAAAATTAGTCACTGCGTAAGTAAAGGTATTAGTGGAAAAGCAATGTCAATCTTAGTAACTATCGAAAAAATGACACCAACGATTACTCTGCAAACTGTAGCTGACGTATACATAAGATTTCAACAGACTGGAGGTCGAAATGTTTAGCATAGACTTTGGTGGGAACCTAGTAGAAAATACACACACTGACGATTTCGAACACAGTCATGCTGTAAAACATTCACCATGGACAATACGTTTGCACGAATAAAGTTAATTTAACATCATCATCTTTTGACGTTTTTAATATTCCCTGGATTTATGAATTGACCACGTTTCATCATTTAACAACATTATTGTGACAAATGCCGAGAATTCCATTCTGAATTATAAGTACTGTCTTTGAAATAAAGTAGATTATTATTATCGAATGGTTTAGAGTAAAATATTTTCACTCACCATTTAACAATGAGACAAATTTATTGTACTCCTGAACAAAAACCGCTTTGATGTGAACAAGAGTTTTAACTAACACTCATTAAACACTTCACCAGGAATGTAAAAAGTGTGAATCAAAGTTCAAACAATGAAATGGATATATTTAAAAAATAATTGAGCATCATTATAAGTCAATTTTATAACGTCTAGTGTAAGATAGTTGCTTTTGCAGGTAAGTGATTCATTTTTAATGATTTGTAATTACTCCAATTTGCTTGTAGTTATTCACAATCACAATGGGTGCACTCTTCGTTTAATTCTAAGCATGCTAATTTTATGATTTCATGGTTTATGAGGTTGATTACTTGATATCAATATTGACCAGCCCTCGGAATATCAGCGAATCTATTCCTTTAGGTCTTTTTAATCTCTTTAAGTATTTCGTTGGGGTAATATCTATCAGATTATATTAAAATAAAGTGGAACATATGTCGAGGTGGACTTGGAGTAGAAAAACTCTACATCCCGCTACATGTTTTCTATTTGGCGATTGTATGCATATCCCACTTCTGATTGCGATTGCTAACATGTTGCATATGTGAGGAAAAGTTTCGGGAGGAGTTCTTGTGGTAAATTGAAACTATCAGTTCACACACTGAGGAATTTAAAGTTTCCACGGGTACACTGATAGTTATTTCTGGCGGAATTTTTCAACGCTGAGATATTTCGATCTTATTTCTTGTTTAATACCAACTCCATTTTTTAATTTCCCAAGATTTGAAATTGTCGTACAATTATCATAATCGTCGATGGTGTCGCTCACTTATGTAAGCAATGTTTATGAATTAAACCAGTCTTGCTGAGAAATAACGACGTATCGGTATTATCTAAAATCAACATCTGCAAGATTTGTTACCACTGTGGAAAACTCTTGATGATAACTTTCATGATTTTGTTCAACATCAGTTACCTGTGAACGGTATCATAATTTTTACTTAAATGTGATGACAATTTTTTCTAGAGGCGTACGGAAGTTTTGCTACTGAATGGAAAGCTTGTGCAGCAATCGCTTGTCTGTAAGTCTGCTATTTCGTAATCGTTGAGGTTAACACTATTAGCAGTCTTTGACTTAAAATACCTTCAAATCAGCTCGTGATTATAACCTCAAAATAAAAATCTTAAAGTGGTGGAACAATACAGGAAGGAATCAAAGTAACTACTGACTACAAGAGATGTGAAGTATTTTCTTGTTGACGTAGTTACTGTCTTAGTCGGATGTTTAGCGCTGGCGATTATACAGCATTATACCCGTCTGTCTGCTGTGAATGGTGGTTTGATTAAAGTTATGTGAGGGAACTAAAATTTGAATTTAACACCATGTGAATTAACCTCGAGTTATTCATCTATTGTGTATGCGTTGAGATATCAGTTGAGAAAAGACCATTTCGATTGACAGTCTTCTGTGCAAAGACTCTGTATAATATTTTTACTAACGAGAACACAAACAAGAAGAGTACAGATACGATAGAAAATTCTTTTCCTCAGGACAAATAGTTGACTTTCGTTTTTTAAATTGTATTATGTTATTTATTTATTTTATTTTTGATTACAGCTTGATTCATGGTTGGCGAGAGTCCTAACCACTGTGCCACCGACGCAGGCAGGCAGTGAATAAGTTGGATTGGAAAGAATTAATTGCACTTTTGAGTAACTAATAACTAACGACACGTAAAAAAGTGGACGTTCTTGGAATATTCGAACAGTATAGCCTAACTCAATTCATCTAATGTTAAATAACGCATTGGACCAATAAATACAAAACCAATGGCTTACTTTTGTAATATTATGAGTGAGTATATACTAGGAATCATTCCTCACCCATTCCAAATAAGTGGAAACTTCTTCTTCTCTTAATAGCAAATTATTTTGATGAATAAGAATAAGAAATATTAAAGAATGGTGGATATAAGGTTATTAAGTGTCTTCACAAAAATAAACTCCCTTCATCTTCTAGAATTTCATATGGATATTTTTTTGTTTGTATTTTAGATTATTGGCTGTGTCCCCATGCATATTGGTATTCTTCGGATTCAGAAAGAATTTGAAAATTGCCATGGTCCTGATAGGAATCATAGTAAGTTCCTCAGAGATTCAAGCTTATGAATGAGCTTCGTTTCCTCTAGATATTTGTATGTCTGTTGTTGATATTCACGCAGACAAAGGTTGATAAAGTAGGAACTAATAAATTTATCAAAGTTTGGTGGAACAGCAAACTCGATAATATTGATAATAATAAGAAAAGAAATAATATGGATATTAAAACGATCTCAAAAACAGTTAATAAGTGAGTTTAAGTGAATTAATGTATTTAGAATCAACATGATTTCTTTTTGTACACGGAGACTAAGTTTATGAACCACACTTGCATGAATTTTCCTTTGTGTTCATTGAATGACAAAAGTGAAGTAATTGATAGAGTCAGTATGATGTCTTCAGTCTACAAAATGCTTTGTTATTTGAGTCTTTGGTGCCTTGACTGCAGTTGCTTTTAGTCAATTTACAGAAAGCCGCATTATGCGAATGGGCCTTCACCTACAACTTACGTATTTGCTTCCACAAACACACCCAAGTTGATTTACCCATGTCGAAGTGTCAAAGATTGGCGACAGCTCCTTTCCAGATTGTTGAAGCAGTCACTTTGTGCACTCAAGAACACGAGTTTTGCAGACTATCGAGTCTTACTTGCAGATTTATCAAGTCTTTGTTTAACAAGATCTTGTACGCCAAACCCTAAAAAGTGCTGACTGATATTTGCAGCTTTCTTCGAAACTGTCAGATATTTAAAAGTCTCCAAACCGTTGATGTCACGAACTTCTTGGAATATTTTGAGCACCGAGTTAGATTGATCCATTATAAATTATTTAAATTGATTGCGGCCTGCTTAAGATGGCTGTACTGGGGCACATTTCTTTAGAATATTTATTGATGAACCACTGACGATATCTTAAACTTGAATGCGATAACCTTCACAGTCTCTATTTTATATTCAATTGTACTGTGAAAACAAATTTTGTGTGCTCTTTTCTGAACAATATCATCTTTAATAGGCTTCTTATTATTCTTCATGTGTTTAGCTGTGAATTTAACATTAGTATGGTATAAGATTAATTTTCCTGATTCTGATTTGCTTTATAAAAAATAAAAATATAATTCGTATACCTCAGGTCAAATACCGTTTGTCAAATATGATGTGGCGAAATATCGCCACATAGGAACTAAGTGATCCACTGAAATTGAGATGTAGGTTTGATAATCACTCTAGTATGAATGAACGTTTCGTTGATTATATGTTCTCGACTATAAAGAACGTCTGAAACCAACGTGGACGAACCGTTTACGTCGAACTTAATCACAAGTATGCTTAATTCTTCGAACAAGCCTTCACCGAATTAAAGCAAACTAACAAACTTGTACAATGGACCAGTTCAAAATCATGATTTATTACATAATAATTTAAGTGAAACTATCTACTCTTGAAGACATCAGAGAATTTGTTCTTTAGCCCTTACCTGCACAGATCGATGTGTCCTCCCTGTGTACCTGTGGATATAATTTGATAAGTGTAGCGGGATTCACTATTATAAATCCGACGCTTTGACAGTTTACATAACAACAGAAAAGGCGTTTTTTCATCTAAAATACGAAATGTAACGAGAAACAGATACACTGTACACCCGTCTTTTAGGTATATGCGAAATACTGAGGATTCATTAATCCATCCTCGGTTGTAGCTGTACAACGTTGGTCACACACAATAAACGCGAAACTCACATTTAAGTTTGCATGCGGATTTTACACACCCCTAAACGTAACACTGCTAGAACATTTTAACTGATATTCGCTGTTATTTTATATGAAATTTATATGTAGACGTCAATTTTGTGAAAACATGTTAACACTTTTGCACTCAGATGTTCAGAATGTCTATTTTATTTTTCCAACAGATTGTATTATGGTCTGCAACTATCTGTTTTATGTGTTGTAAAACGGCTGATTTTAACTGTTACTTTTTATTGGGCTTCGTTATTCTGGAAGATGTGTTAACAGTTATCGCCTGCATCTATTTTAGAAGATTCAAACTAGTGGTGATGATAGTTCTGATATCTTTATCAGTGGCTTTTTTGATAACTGGAACAGTTTTGTTTTATTTGGATGTGAGTAAGGCAATAGCATTGAAATATCAAATTAATGTTTTTATTTTATCGTTATAAGATAACTAGAATTATCAACTAAATAATACTGTTACTTACACGGAATTCTAGCCCTATACATATCTCTGTATTCTTAAGTCCATACATACCTGCATTGCCAGATAAGGAGAAAGTAGGGGTATTTATGCATCAATTCAATAATTGAAGTACATTTGCCTATCTGAGAAAAGTATCACACTTATTAGATATGTAAAATGAAAATTACCATGTAAATTTAGGATAATGACGAAATATCTTATTACACAGTGGTAAGAAATGTTAAACTTAAATTCTTGAGAAAAGATGCATTCCAGTGATCCATAATTCATCTCACTGATTCATTGAAATAATTAGAAAACTGCGTTGTTGTACATACATATTTTGGAGTTCTGTTCCGTAGAATAACATTCAGTTTTGTTGATAGGTTACTTATACTTGAATTGTGCATTTGATCTGCTGTAATTCTTGATCAACATTCTGATAGTAATTTATCTCAATTCGTTTCAGCAGAAATATTCTGAATTGGCTGGTGGCTTTTTCAACACCGCCGTAGCTGTGGTAAATTCACAGTTTTGCTTTGGTATTTGGAAATTTAGTTACGAATCAGGTGTGATGTTGGATTTGAGGTGTGAAATCGTAAACATTTTTAAAAGAGGCAATTTCTACCTCGACAAGCCTTCATGGTGTGGCTGAAATAATTACAAATTTTCAGGTCACATTCTGTATAGATCTTACTGTTTATTTTATGCATAACTTTAAATCATGAGTCGATATTAGGTCAGCGGACTATCATATTTACGATTGAAACTTACCATGTTGTTCTATTTGTTACTTGGCTTCTTTCAGTTGATTCTAGTGTTTGTCAGCTTGCTTAAATAACGTGAATATCACAAGGCTGTGACAATCTAATCGTGTCAAACAACATTCACTGTAATCTGCGTTTTGTGCTAACGTACACATTTTATTGTGCTTGCAACTGGCTAACCGACTGACAGTTCACATTTTCAATTAATTTAATAAACTAATGGTTCTGCACTAAAAATGTGTACAACAATTTCTTCTGAATGGTGTCTTTCATGCGTGTGTCTATCCACTCGCAAAAGGAATTTGAGCACGATTTGACGCTTCAAATGAGGCTATGTTTTCAGAAGGTGAAACTGTCGACTGAATATGTAACTCAGCCAAAAATGAAACGATTTCGAATACAAGTAGAAATTGAATGAAGCTCTAAAGTTATTTAACGTGAGGGGGAATTCTTAAACTAAAGCATCACACATGGAAATAATAAACGAAACTGGGTAGCATAAATGGATGCTTCTAAGATAGAATGAAGGAAAAAATTTAATGGTCGTCTACTATTTGATATGTCAGGTTGTACAGTTCTGCGGTCTTCACGAAGAACCATCACCTCATGTCGCATGGTCTTCCGTTGTTAGCTTAACTTTCTGTGTAACCTCCATCGAATAATCTTGCATCGTCTCCTATCTTTTCTTGTAGGCTGTAATGATATTAAGTCATTTAATTTGCTAGCTCAGAAAAATAATGAAATCGTTCACTTAGTCCAGTAAGTACATGTGATCTGTTTTCATGCTGTTGCGCCAACTAAATTCACATAAAGTGAGATCTGACACGTACTGATCGCCTGTAAATCCCGTTTTACGTAGAAAAAATTGAACTACAATAAAAATATCGAAAGCTTCGTTTTGAACAATATGCTTACACACGATGATGAATTCTCAACGTTCTTCACAGGAAATTCTTCCTTCTTTTGGTCTGATAAGTCCATTGCAGCAAGTTGAAGACTATAAAAGATGGAAATGAGTAGTGGCAACTACTTGAAGATGTCATTAAACTCCAAAAAGCAATTTGAAGCTTGGTAAATTTCAAGCAATTTCATCGATGCAAAACAAGGTAGCTCACTGGTATTCCCAAGCAACTTGGGAGTAGATTCATGCGAGATTTTTTTTCATGCGTCGGTTATCATGTCGCTAAGTCACAAATGACTCTCTATTATCAAAGTACTTCAATAAACTAGGGTGACAAATCGTATTTTGATGAAAATCATTGTTCTTTTTCAAAATGTGTAAAAATAGTCGTCGGAATACTAGAGAGGTGTAGTTCTCCCACCGAAGAGACGTGTGAACCAGGTGTTCACAGAAACACGTTAGGGCTGTAGTTTTAATGGGAAACCATGACTAGAGAGGGAAATGAGTTGTGTTTAGTGATTCACCACTATTTCCGAAGCACGAACATTTACTGTACGATCTGTCAAATTCAATGTCAAATTTCGGGACAGAACGCATCAAATTTAAGTGGAGAAGTTTCTCTATACTGGTCTCATCTCGTCGACACAGGATATAACGTTGAAGTTATCACAGATTTTACATATCTTTATCATGCTGATAACCTATTCATTATTATCATCAATCCATATTGCTAGGTAAATAACCAGCGTCATGCTGACTTCGCGTTACGTAGATATCATTGTGCTCATATAAGATTAACAGAAAGACGGTTGTAGTGAAGACAGTTTGATTTTCCAATTAATAGTGTTCTCTGAGCTGGTTCATTTAGTTGCGGAGCTTTCGTCATCTTTCTGGATGACATCTTCAACGCAGTATTTAGCATAAAGTCAAATGATTTAAAATCTCCATGAATGATGATACAATTGCGTCTCCTGGTGACCAACCATCTTTACATATGTATTGACCGTTTTCTGTTGATTGGGATTCGAAACTTTCTGGTCAGCTGATTTGCTTTTTATTAGTTGATATATTTCATCTATATTAACGTGTTTATTAATGGCATTTTAGTTTGAGTACCAGGCTTCCAGGAATTCCCCGGCACATTTGGTGTTTCCTCTGTTTAAGATTTTGATATTATCCCAATCAAATTGATGTCCATGGTTGCCAGTATGCATTGATACTAAAGAGTTTATATAATGTCTTTTCACGACTAATTTGTGTTCTTGGATTCTTATTCGAAGGGGACTCCCACTTTGGCCGATATAATGTTTGTTACAGTTCATACAATTTATTTTGTAAATGGTGTTAATTTTATCTCCTTTTTCTATCGGATCTTTTGGTTTGCATAAGATCGAATTAAGTGATTCGGCTGGTTTGTGTGCTACATCTATGTCAAACGGTTTCATTCTTCTAGCCGTTATTTCAGAGATATTTCTGATGTATGGTAGGATGAATTTCTTTTTGGTCTTTGGTGATGGTTCTTTGTTGGTGCTTTGATTCGACTTCAAACACCTTTTGATTAATTGCAAATCATTCACCTGGGTTACAAATCTTTTGTATTATTTCACAATTTTCTTTTCGACGGAATTACCAATTAAGCTGCACATTCATGCCCTTTTATTAAATGTGTGAGAAAATTCTGAAATTATTTCCTGTCAAAGATTGAATTAATAAAATTACTAAGTGTAATAATCAGAAAGATCGGGTAAAAAAGACAATAGGATTATAATTACTGGAAAACTTGTCACCGTATATCTACGGATTAAGGACGTAGTATTAACACAATAGGCGGGAAGTTCGGACAAATTCAAAAATATAAAAAATCAGCAGCCAAGTCTAGTAATGCGGATAGGAAATAAAAACGTATAAATAACAGAAATAAACTTAAAATTGGTCGAGAAGGTTATTCAGATTATCAAAATTTGTGAGACTAATTTTGTACGATTGCCAAGGTAGGGAAAATGTGTTGACGTAATTCTTTTGAACAAATATAGTCAGCCTGAATATTGTTTGGTTTGTGCTCTAGCTATCCCTGGATGCCTTGCTTTCACTTCCTTTGGTAGGTTTGATCCGATCCCGATGTCTTTGAAGGAATTTTTAAATGGAGCTGAATGTCCTGAATTCACCAAATGTTGTGTTACCATGCAGTATAAGCCTTTGCGTTCTCCTTTTGCTAACCATGCTGTATAGTGTTCCTAAGTGAGTTTTTTGGATCTGGATGTTGTTAGTTATTAGTATATTTGTGCTTTTGCTAGACAGTCTCAGTAGTGTTTGATATTTATTCTTTTTTCCCCGTCTCATATGTTATCAATGAGTGTGCTCGTCTCAGAGGACTTGAAACATTTGATGTCTTTGGGCTGATGAGGTGTGATTATTTCAAGTCTATATATTTGTTGGAGTGAGTTTTCTTCGTGAATATGAATATACTAAAATGTCCGTTTTCAGTCCTCTTAAGTAGGCAGTCGAGGAGTGTTAGTTCATCAACGTCTGATTCTGATTCCGAACTGGATTCTGGGAGATGAATTGTCCGTTGTTTCCAAGAATGACCTGTGTAGGTCTAGTTATAGCGCAAGAAAAGCATCGTCAACTTATCTTAGCTACATTCTAGGCCTGAGTATGGTTGAAAAGATGTCACCTTCGAATCTATTCATAAAAAGATCGGCGACAATTGAGGAAACTGGTGAACCCGAAGAAACACTAATTTTCTCTAAATATGAATTCCCCTTAAATTAAAAATAATTAGTCTCAACACTGAGTAATTAGCTCCTTATTATTTCACTGCTGTCCATTGAAAACCTTTGTGAAAGTACTTTGCCTGGTTCTAGCAAATTGAAAATAATATTAAAACTAGATAACGATGATACTGGTGTAACAACAGAAGACAAGGGCTGGCAACAGATCGTTTTATTACGAAAATCAACACGTATTTATATATATTTTATATGCATTAATAAGGCTTATGCAAGCAGAAAAAGGCAGTCTTCTGATTGGTTGTTTCTCGGAAGTTAAGCAGACAAACACAGTCTTATGATTGGTTGTGTTCGATATTTCTCGGAAAGTAGAGCCATCTATCTGCGAATCATATTTGTCCACATTTAGGTTTGCTGTGATTGGTTGTTGAAACAGCCTTGTTCACGGTCAATATTAGTGACCTAGACATTAACGTAGATTAGTGCCAACCAATCGGCTAGCAGCCTGCTCTCACCACACTCGTCCCCCCGTCAAATAGCTTTGTGCGCAGACGTTCCGACCTTCTGGGTGCTACATCCTCTAGTTGAGGATTGTTACTGACCGGCTTGTCCCACTGTACCCATCTTTGTAGCTGACTGGCGTTAACTCGTTTCTGTTTATCACCTCTTCGGATGGTATATACTTGACCCCGTCTTTTTGTGATTGTGTATGGTCCTTCCCACTTTGGAAGGAGTTTCCGTGAACCTAGCCCGCCTCCAACTGTATATCTCCTGTCTCTACACTTCACTTGGTCCCCGACTGCAAAAGTAATGCACTGCGTCCTTTCTTTCATCTGAGACTTCGTGACATCACTGCGCTGCTTCCGTATTACATTCTTGACTGCCTCTTTCCTCTCTGCTTTTAATTTCGTCGTACTCCACTTTTGGTGCATGGGCCAGGTCTCATTGTGTACCGGTAATCGTGGTTTTCTGCCATACATCAGTTGGAAGGGTGACTTCTTCGTTGTTTCCTGAGTGGTAGCCCGATGTGTTAGTAAAATCAGTGGAAGCTCCGTTTCCCAGTTCCCGCCCTTCGAAGCCAGCCACTCTTTCAGTGTACGGTTGTTTCTCTCCGTTAGGCCATTCGTTTGTGGATGGTATGGGGTCGTTCTGATCCTCTTGATGCCCAGCTGTTGCAAACGGGAAGTAAACTCTTCACTCTCGAAACAGGGACCTTGGTCTGTCAGTATTGTCTTCGGTACGCCGTGGTCTGCAACAATGTGTCTAACTACTGCATCTGTCACGGTTCTTGCACGTTGGTCTGGGATTGCTACGGCGTCTACCCATCGTGTCGCGTGTTCCGTCATCACCAAGAGGTACTGATTACCATTGGATGTCTGAGGAAATGGACCCATGACATCTACGGACCACAAGTCACCTATCGCGGTAACTGGAATCGACTGAAGTGGTGGTCGTATATACCGGTCACCTTTCATCAGCTGGCACCGTGGACATCCAAGTACGTATCTTGCTACGTCTTCTCTCATACCTGGCCAGTACATACTTTGTCTTAGGAGGTCGGTCGTTCTGGCCACGCCTGTATGCGCTAGCTGGTGACATTCTTCTATCATGTCGTGGCGCGACGATTGAGGTATGACAGCCAGCCAGCTTCCGTCGTTCTCTCGCCAGGTCAGAGTCCCGTAGGCATTCACTCTGAGTCGATCCCTCTGTCTGAGTAGTGTGGTTAGCTCCTTACTCGCCGTAGTTTGATCCACTTCTATTCCGTTGGTGATCACCTGTATTACTGTATTCAGCGTATCGTCCAACCTCTGCCTACGTGCAAGTCTTAGTGGGTCTTGTTCTACTGCATGCACTCCGTAAGCGACCTCGGGCAACTCAGACTCATCTTCTGGTCTCGATAACAAATCTGCCAAGACATTTTCACTTCCAGGAACGTGTGAGATCGTAAAATCGTATTCCTGAAGACGCAACATCCACCGTGACAACTTCCCCCGTGGGTCTCTCGCTGTCTTCAAAAATTGTAGCGGCTTATGATCGGTTTCGATGTGGAACCGCCGGCCGAGTAAATAAGGTCTCCATTTGTCGACTGCCCATACCATTGCTAAACATTCTTTCTCTATCGTTGAATACTTTCTCTCTGTGAGGGTCAACACCCTACTGGCATACTCAACGATTCCCTCGTCCTGTCTTAGGACCGCACCTATAGCGTAGTCACTGGCATCTGTGCACACTGTGAACTGTCTTCCTGGCACAGGTAGTTTTAGCGTCATTTGTTGGTGGTCGAGCAGCTGTTTAATTCTGTCGAATGTCCTCTGCGATTCTTCCGACCAAACAAACTTTGGCTCACCTAGTAGCCTGTATAGAGGGGCTGCTATCTCATTGAAGTTCTTCACGAAGCGACTATAAAACGCTGCTCTACCCAAGAATTGTCTCAGTTTTCTCTTTGAATTCGGGGCTGGAATCGTTTTAATCGTCAAAATTTTCTCCGGCAGTGGTTTAATCTCACCATTTCCCACTTTATGTCCCAACAGAGTAACATTCTTTTTGGCTATCTGAGACTTGGTTTTGTTGACGCGTAGTCCAAACTCTTCGATGCGTCGCAGCACGGCTTCTACATGGTTGACGTGATCGTTTTCGTTTGACTGTATATGACGAGATCATCACCATAAACCTCCACGTTTTTCAAGTTCTTAAGTAATAGCTTCATCAGTCGCCTGAACGTAAACGGTGCACCTGCTAGTCCAAACGGCATGCGTTTAAATCGATATTGCGTCTGACCCACGATGAAAGCCGTCTTATCTCTGTCACTTTGTTTTATCGGTATCTGCCAGTATCCTGAGCGAAGATCGAGAACCGAAAACACATTCGCACCTTGTAGTCGATCTAAGGTTTCTATCACTGTTGGCATGGCACACGGTCTTAACTCTGTCATACTGTTTAACTGTCGAAATCAACACAGAATCTATATTTCCCATTCGCTTTTTTTACTAACAGCACTGGAGAGTTGTATGGGCTATCAGCTTCCTCAATAATATCATCTTTTAACATCTCTTGCACTTGTCGCTCCACTTCGCCTTCCAGATGACATGGAACTCTTCGCGTTAAAAATGACCTTACTTTAGGATCACTTAACGGAATTTCATGATTCACCTTATCGCAATAACCGTATGGGTCCCATCTCCAGTGAACAGATGATCGTATTTATTAATTAACTCTGTCACATTGTGTACCGTCGACAGCTTAATCGCTGCTATCTCGCTGGTCTCATACATGTTGATATGCCCGTATTTCGTGATCACCACGTTCGCTTGCGTGTCGATTATGGCACCAATCTCACGCAGAAAATCCGCTCCTAATATCGTTCGCTGTAGTTCGGGTACAACAATGAAAGGAAACGTCACCTCGCAGCCACCAACAACGACCGTACAGTTCGATCTACCCGTGATACGCAACACATACCCGCCTACTGTTTGTACTGTCAATGAACACGGATTAACACTCTTACATAAATTCTTATCTATTAACGACACGGCCGCCCTGTATCTATCAAACATACTACTTCTCGATCATTCACTCGCAACTTCGAATACAGAGCGCCTTTCTCAATAGCCCCCACTAAACCTAGGTTCATACGAAAGAAAGAACAAGCATTATACCGTCTGAAATTTTTTCTTTTTCGCCTTTCTGGGCAGTATCTTCTCCAGTGTCCCGGCTTACCGCATTCAAAACACCGGTCTTTTCTATCAGCCAACTTTAACGCCGCCACTTCCCGCTGCAATGCTTCAATTTTTGCTCATATTCGTTTGGTTTTGGTTGGTCTATAGCGGCTACCGTTGTGCTCAGCAGCTGTCTGGTCACCTTCGCCAGCTCACTAATATCCATCGGCTGCGTTGCGTTAACCAGTTGTAATCGCTGAGAAATGTGGTCTGGGACACTCTCGATGAATTGGGAAGACAGTAACTGCGCTTCTGATTCTTCATCTAAAGTGGGAAGCGCGCGTCGAAGTAGATTAGTCAGTTTCACCGCCAACACTAGCGGGTCTCCATCAGGTCCAAGCTTCATTGACCGGAACTGCTGCATTGCTAGCTGTCTGTCTGTTTCGCTGTCAAACTCGGACACTAGTCGTTCAACCAATTTCTTCCAAGACGCTGTGCCATTTGACCTGTCTACGCTGTCATATGCAGCCTTCGCTCGGCCTCTCAACAGCGTCCCCAGGACAACTGCCTTCGCCGCCTGCTCCTTGACACCCACCAGCTCAGCAACGGCTTCGAAGTCACGTAAGAAGCTCCGTATGTCACCTTCTTCAAACGCAGCTGGCCACGGGATCTTCATCTTCTTGGAGGCAGCGACACCAAATGTAACAACAGAAGACAAGGGCTGGCAACAGATCGTTTTATTACGAAAATCAACACGTATTTATATATATTTTATATGCATTAATAAGGCTTATGCAAGCAGAAAAAGGCAGTCTTCTGATTGGTTGTTTCTCGGAAGTTAAGCAGACAAACACAGTCTTATGATTGGTTGTGTTCGATATTTCTCGGAAAGTAGAGCCATCTATCTGCGAATCATATTTGTCCACATTTAGGTTTGCTGTGATTGGTTGTTGAAACAGCCTTGTTCACGGTCAATATTAGTGACCTAGACATTAACGTAGATTAGTGCCAACCAATCGGCTAGCAGCCTGCTCTCACCACACTGGACATAATGAGTTAATATCATTGCTTACCATAATGCTTTATTAATGAATTTCGCGGTGTTGTTTCTGGGGTATGAAACCATATGAATGTTTTACAATATTTTGAGTTTTCTTTTGTAGTGGTTGTAGTATCGAGAATACGTATTTAGAGGGGTTGTATTTCGGTTAATTGATAGAATCAACTACTTATCTCCATTAAATTGGGGGTTTATGTATCTTTGACTGATCGTAGAAACTTAAACGCACATAATATTTTGGTTTTATTTAAAACCAAATTTTGGTTTTTCTTATTTCTTGATGGAGTCTGATTGTATCTAGTTTCGTGTCGTTGAATACGGCAGATTTCTTCTTTTTTTACAATGAGTAAGTATGGTCCTCCAGAGAGGTGCTCAGTCGGCTTCTTTTAATTATCCATTTTTTTCATTATCACAATGACGTTTCCTTTTTGGCTTCAGTTATAAAATGCCTTCGTATTTCTTCAAATTTCTCGGGGCTACATATTCTTGTTTGTCGTGTCATTAATATATGTGATAATTTTTGCCGTACAGATTGTGATTCTTCATAGGTAGAACAGATTCAAACATTGGTGCCATTTCCTGAATCGCGAATGGCTTCCTGTTGGTCTCGGAACTTACACTTTTCTATATGAATGAGATTTCATTTTCAGTTAGTATCTTGTCTGATATGTTGTGTATAATTCCTTGTATTATTCACATCACTTGCTGATATTTTTTGGTTGTTCAAGTTTCAAGAATTTCCGTATTTTTCTCCTTCCGATGACATTACAAAAATGTGATACTCGTTCATCAAATAATTTTTGGAAGGATTTTAATATATTACTTGTAACAAGCAGGGTTAAGCAGTAGTCAATATTTTGATCATCATATACATTTTTCCACAGAGAACACAGAAACAAGGCTCATTCTCTTAAGGAATTTAATGTGCATAATAAACAAATCATAAAAATAATTTTGTTATTAACACAGAAATCATCCCTCTCTCTTGAAACAGAGTGACTGACTGCTTGCTTCCGTTGAAATGCAACCTAACATTTTGAATTACTACGATGAACATGAAATAAAACTTTCTGTGCTAGAGTATCTTTTGTTGATTTCATCGTTGAATCAGCTTTTATTACCATTGATTTAAGATAAAAACTGACATTGAACATTATTTATAAATTGAGGGAAAACGATGTGTTCATCTACAGAATCATGTCTGGTTTTCGGGGTACTTTTGTTTCAGAAATCCATTTTCCATAAAACTGAATCGACGTGCTTAATTCCAAAGATGCATTTCTACGTGAATTCAGTTTTTTACTTTGAGATAACCCTTAAATTTAACCACAGGCTACATTTGATCACACATTGTCACTATATTCTGACAGAGTTGACATCAAAATATTCATCATGACATTTCACGTGAATAGAGTACACAAAATATCATCCTATAAACTTAAGCAAAAATCGCAATTTTATATTCACCTCATATTCACCTGTTGTATGAATTGATCAATTTTCATTAAATATCACTATATAGTTCAAAGTAGAATATTCTGTGTGGTTCTTTAAACTATTAGTTAGTAACAGTTATGGAACGTTTCAGCTTGAATCAAAGTTTAAAGAGTGAGACGGATACATTTACACATTAGCTGAACATTTCTTCGAGTGAACACTGTAACGCTTCAAGATAAATGACTGTTTTTTCTCTGGTAAGCAGTTCAATTATTATCACTTGTCATTTTTGTCATTCTCGTGTCGTTATTCGGAATGTGTAATCGTATGCTTCCGGTTTTTATCACTCTGTGGTTCATGAGATTAGTACTTTAGATCAGAGCAAGACAGTGATCCTCAAACCAGACAAATACTATTTTAGAAGAGTATAACATACGTTTAACTTTTCTTTTCATTTTATTGGCATCCTACTTATAAAACATTTCAACATTCTAATAGGAGTAGAAATATTTCACACCTTTCAACATGACTTGTGCTGTCCACATGAAAATGTGTAGTCGTCTTCCATTGCGATTTACGACTCTTAAAATGTAGCATACGTGAGTAGTGTTTAACAGAAGTTTCGCCGTGTTAATTTGAGTAATTACACTCACACACTTAAAGGTGTTATGTTTTCATACATATACCGATGATTGTTTCACACTGGTCGTTTTGAATTTCATATATTTACGTACTATTTGTTTTTAAATGCATAATATACTACATGTGTTTCTCTCTATGTCAAATTCCAAAACGAGCATGGTATCACATTTGTTACACCTGCAAGCAATCTCAATGCATCAAATATTCTTGTTGTAAAAGTAAGACATTAAGATGAATTGTTTATGTCTAAACTCAAAGTTTCTCAGGTTTGTAACTAACGCTTATAACATTTCATGAAAGCGTCTTCACTTTTTCAACATTGGTTAGCTATAAATGTTACCAAAATTATAACGCACATTTAATGAATATTCTGTCCTCCAGATTATTGAATATTCTCCTATTGGCTGGAAGGATTATGTAACAATGATTTGCATGTAAGTCAGGCTTCCCTGAATATTTCCGATAAACACTGTCAGTTGTATTATACTGTGAATGTGTTGACTGGCGATTATAATCTCAATAATTAAATGCTAAGTCATAGACTCAAGCCAACTGTTGACCTATATGAAACACTGCATTCGAAGTATTTTTCAGTATTTTTTCCTTCACTTTCCTAGTGGAACAAAGGGAATCAGGACAGTGGCTTGAAGTTTATGTGGCAGTGTTTAATTTTACAGGATGAGGTTGCTATCCTCTAGCCCAACCTTTCCTCTTTACCAACTTCATTTCTGGCTTAGAGAGGTAAAGGAGTGCGTCGGCCGGGGATCGAACCATGGACAATGTGTACGGTCGGCGAGCGTCCTAACAGCTGTGCCACCTACACCTATTTTCCCACATACGTATTCCTTATACTATTAGGAAATGTGACGTTTTGAATGTTCATAGGCGAAGACACTCATCAGACCCATCTAAATTCAACCACTGGTGGTTGACTAAAATCGTATGAAAGAAATATAGCTCAAATAAATGTAATTGCTGTGGTTGAATTATATACTCTTCGTGAGTTTACTTCTAATAACTCAAGGTCCTCCTAAGCGATATCTTCAGCTTTGAATTCAGGTTAGAGTGAGAGTTTCGAATTTGGAGCGAACAACATATGCCAATCAGGATAACCCACGAAGTGATTGCTTATTTCGGGAGCGTTCTTTTCATTCTACACACTTGTATTAATACTGATCAATTCGCTGATCTCGTATTTAAGCGTAATGCCGTGTAGCTAGTTCCTTAATTAATAATAGATTTTATCTACTTCGAAATATCTGTTGCATGAACAAGAATTGAAGTAACGGTCATCTGAGAACAAAAACGCTGTAT